CTCAGGCTGGTTTCGAACTCCTCAGCTCAAACAATCCGCCCGCCTCGGCCTCCCAGAGTGCTAGGATTACAGGCGTGAGCCACCGCGCCCAGCCTAGAGTCCTTAATGTATTTTGGATACTAGACCCTTATATAAAGAGAGATAGGTTTAGCTCTTATATTTAGGTCTTTGGTCCATTTTAAGTTAAGTTTTACATGTGGTGTGAGGTAGGGGTCTGTCTTAGTCTGTTCAGGCTACTATAACAAAATACCTTAGACTGGATAATTTATATACAACAAGAATTTATTGCTCACAATTCTGGAGGCTGGGAAGTTCAAGATCAAGGTACCAACAGATCTGGTGTCTAGTGAGGGCCCATTCCTCAGATGGCACCTGCCATGTGTCGTCATACAGCAGAAGGAGCAAACAAGCTCCCTTAAGCCTCTTTTATAAGGGCACTAATCCCATTCATGAAGTCTCCACCCGGATAACCTCATCACCTCTCAGTTGCCTCACCTCCCAACACCACTGCACTAAGGACTAAGAGTCAATATATGAATTTGGGGAGGGGGGACATAAACATTCAGACCATAGCAGGGTCCAACTTCATCTCTTGCATGTGGAAATCCAGTTGTCCCCGCATGATTTTTTAAAAAGACTATTCTTTCCCCATTGAACTGTATTCAGAACCTTGTCAAAAGGCAGTTGACCATAAATGTGTTGGCTATTTATTAAACTTTGAATTTAAATTAATTAAAATTAAATAAAATTTAAAATTCAGTTCCTCAGTCACACCAGCCACATTTCAAGTACTCAACAGCCATGGAGTCACATGTGGCTACTGGCTTCCATATTGAATAATGCATGTGCGCACATACACGCACACACAGATTTTCCACAATATAGCAAGTCTTATCAGCTAGCACTGCTCCATATCCTCCAACTTCCCACAGGCCTTTCCAGCTCATGTCCATCCTGATCTTCAAGGCTAGCAGTCAGAAGGTGGGGAGTTTCTATAAATAGGTTACATGTCTAGCCCATATTCCAGTTTCTAAACACATATGTACGTAATGAAAGAAAATACCACAGGTACTGGATTTACCATCCTTTGAAGAGAAGGTGGGTGTCAGTCAGTGTCCATTAAGTGAAGGGTATTTGTTGAAATAGCTCAAGCACCAGATTATAAAGTGAAATTTTCAGTGTGGAAATTTCAACTCTCTACCTTCTTTCATTAATTGATATTCAGTTCTGATGGTTTTGCTTTTCCCTGTTCCTCCTTTCCTAAACCTTTCCCTAAAGGTAGGAAGGAGGGAGGGGGTTGAAGACTTTGGTTCCTAACTTTAATATAAATCAGAATCACTCCAGGAACCTGTTAACTGTGCAGATTTGCAGGTCCAACCCCCAGAGATTCTGACTCAGCCCCTTTGGGAGAGGAGCAAGGAATCTGCTTGTTGAATAAGTCTCATGGAAGTTGCCAGTAGAGGACCACCCTTTGAGAAACTTTGCAGAGTATTTCATAATTCTTTTGCTGAAGTGCTTTCTTCCAAGACCAGAAAATGAAGCATATTCTTTCTAATTATAGAGGCCCCCAGAATGAAAAATGACAACAAGGAAAATCCACAACAGGAAGGGGCTAAAGGAGCAAAGCCATGTTCTGTGTCAGCTGGCAGAGCCAAAGGGAATGGTCTGCAGAGTCCTGAACCGAGAGGGGCAAATACAAGTGAAACTCGGTTGTCACGGAGGCAGGTCAGCCCCCCAAATGCTCAAAAGCCATTTGCTCACTACCAGAGACATTGCAGGGAACTAGAATACATCAGCAGCCCCTTAAAAAGCCACCCACTGAGAGAGCTGAAGAAAGGCAAAGGAGGTAAAAGAAGCTTGAGCAATCGTTTGCAACGTCATGGTCACCAGCCGACACGCTCAGCGAAGAAACCCTACAAGTGTGATGACTGTGGGAAAAGCTTCACATGGAATTCAGAGCTGAAAAGACACAAGAGAGTCCACACAGGAGAGAGACCCTACACGTGCGGAGAGTGTGGAAACTGCTTTGGGCGGCAGTCAACCCTGAAGCTGCACCAGAGGATCCACACTGGAGAGAAGCCATACCAGTGCGGCCAGTGTGGGAAAAGCTTTCGCCAGAGCTCAAATCTTCACCAGCATCACAGGCTCCACCATGGGGACTGAAAGGAGTGCTCCATGCTTTACATTCACCAGGAAGGTATCTATGTTTCTCCTTCCCCTTAGTTGCATGTAAATCACAAAGACTGTCTGTGTGACTTACAAGGAAAGCAAGAGGCCCTTGAGGAATGAAGGTGCACATTCAGCTGGTAAGGAGCCCCAGAAGAGGCTGGCCAGGGCCTGACCATGCACAGCAACAAGGTGAAGAGGTGGCAGGTCTGGGCATTGGGTCAAAGAACTGCAGTCTCCGCAGAGAGCGGGGAGACCACCGAGGGAGAATCGGGATGATCCTGCAGGTGGCCACTTATTGTTAAATTGTCCCGTGGTTGCTTTATTTATCCTCTAAAATATGCTAAAGGGTAAATTATATAGATATAGTTATGCATTTGCTGTCATACCAGACAATTTTTATCATGCACACACTTCTTTAATAAAGATGAGTGACCACTAGAATTTCAAGGCAAAGTTCATTGGAAAATAGATCCTTCATTGTCTTTTCTGTAATTCCTGGTTGTTCATAACAAAGGATGAATTAAGTGAGAGTATGTACGTGTTTGTGTGAGGAGAAGGTTTCCAAGTAATTACATGGTACTTTTTACAAAAAAAAAGAAAAATTGCATTTCAGGGATCACTTTGTATCGGAGCACCTTTGATTTAGAAAAAGAAAATCCACACAGGCTGCAATCCCAACCCAAGAGAAGGGGAAAGGGTACAGTGAGAAGCACACAGCGGATAAAGGCTGCTGAGGAAATGTCAGAGGGAATTCTTCCCACTGTCCTTTCTCACTGAGGCCATTAGCTTGAAGGTTAACAAAATGGGGTGATGAGAGTGTTCTAAAACTGGATTATGGTGATTGTCACACAGCTTGGTAAATTAACTAAAAATCACTGAAATGGGTTAATTTTATGACACATAAATTTTACCTCAATAGCATTTTTTAAATGACAAAATATATTAATATAAAATATTAGACTCCTGGAACTAGGCCAAGAAGATCATCTCATTCCACCCCCTCTTATTTTGTCAAAGTGGAAATTAAAACTCAATCAGTATACAAGTCTCAGTCACCTGGGCAAGCCAGCTCACTTCTCAGTGGCAGATTAGCGCACCACTTATGCAGAAAATAGGGGCAGGTGGCCTTCTTCGTAAGACACCGGTATCAAGCCACTCCCAGTCACCTTGGGGCTGCGACCTGTGTTCTGCCTCCAAGAATCTCAGGCAAAGTGAACACCCATGAGTCTTCCCTTGGGGACTGTGCACATGCTGTTTCTTTCGCTTTTAGTTCCTGCGTGCCCCCTGCACTTCCTTCCGCCTCCTCCATCTCTCAAGAGCTGCCTGCTCTGCGAGGCCTTCCCTGACAGCTTGTGTTGTAATCATGGGTCTGCCTGCCTGCTAGACTCCATACACCAGGGTGCTCAACCTGGGCCCCCCCCAGGGAATGTTTGGCAATGTCTGAAGACAGTTTTAGTTATGATTTGGGGAAGAGAGGCTTGCTCCTGGCCTCTGATGGTTCCTGCTAACTGTCCTGCAGGCACAGGACAGCCCCCACAACAGTCATCTGGCCCAACGTATCAATTGTGCTGAGGTTGGGAAATTACTATACACTATGTAAGCTCTTTCAGGACAAGAACCTTGTTTTTCCATCATTTTAGGTTTTGGACTTAGCCCATGCCCAGCCAAGAGAAATAGATGTTCAGTAACTGAATAGTTGAGGAGCCCTGCTTTAACTTCCAGGCCCATTTCTGCCTGAATTCAGAGATCCGTGACAATCTGTTGATTATGCAGACAAGCACCTGTCTTTTGGGCAGAGGTTTATTAAAAACCCGTTGGCCTTTCTCATAGCTTTTGGTGGTCCCTTAGGCCCTAACCCCCTTCTGTCTACTACGTTAAATCATAGACTTTATCTTCGGTATCGGCTGCCCCTACCCTACTGCAGCCTGCTGCCTCTCCTGGTCAGGTGTCCCCCTTGCCCTACCCCCTTTTCTAGGCTGATTCCATTGTTGCCCTTTAACATGCCAGTCATAGTCACACCTGTATTAGTTTCCTATTGGTGCAGTAACAAATGACCACAAACTTCTCATCATTCTGGAGGTCAGAAGTCCAAGATCAGTTTCACGCAGCTGAAATCAAGCTGTCAGCAGGGCTGGTTCCTTCTGAAGGCTCTGAGAAACGAATCTGTTGCCTTGACTTTGTCAGCGTCTAGTAGCCACCTGCATTCTTCGGCTCATGGCCCCCTCTTCCATCTTCAAAGTACGTCACTCCAGACTGTCACCACATCCCCTTCTTCTGACTCTCACCTTCCTGCCTCCCTCTTATAAGGACTGCTATGAATACATTGGGCCCACCAGGATGATCCCCCCATTTCTAGATCCTTAACCTAATAACATCTGCAAAGTTCCTTTGCGTATAAGGTAACATTCACAGGTTCCAGGGATTAGGATGTAGACAGGGCAGCCATGAGTCAGCCTACCACACATGTCTATCCTGAATCAACTTGGTCAAAGAAGATCTCTCCAAAAAAGGAAGGAGGATAGATTTCCAATTTTCTTATTTATAAGAGTTAGCACAGGGACTCTTCCTTAAATAAGAGTTTTTTCTTGCTTGGTGTGTTTTGAAGAACCTGTGTGTGCGTGTTTCCTTTCTCCTGATTACAGAATCAATAACTGTTTAATAACTGTCTTTGGTGGATACCTGTTCAACTGTGGACCTTGAATAAACGTGACAAAATCACCACTCTGAACACCATTCATTTCCAAAAGGTTTCCAGTCTGCTGCTGCCTCACCTGCCCTGCCTGGTTTTCCTTGGGCATAAGGCTCAACTCCAGGCAAGGAGTGTCAGGAAGGGCCCGATGGCTGGAAGAAGGCTGTGGGTGCTGCATTCAGACGTAGGTGTCCCCTCAGCCCCCTTGCCCATGCATGGTCCACCAGAGGGCCTCAGCCTGAAACGCTGACCTGCTGGTCTGCCATAGCTACCATTTGCAGCACCCCAGTGTAAGAAAAGAGTCTTTCTCCTTTCGCGTGTAGCCCTTGCCCGTGGAGCAGCCTGCAAGGTTCTGCTGTCTTTTCTGGGCCTTCCCCTGTCCTTAGCTATATTGGGGTGGGGGTGACTCCTGTTCAGGATATTTGGTCCCCAGGTCCCCAAGAAGATGGGAGGAGAGAGGAAGCACCAGCAGACAAGTAGGGGTCTGGGCACCACAGATTTCTCGGAAGAGCATTTTCCATCTACAGCAGATGAGGACTTGTAAAACCCAACCCGTAATACCATCATCACTCCCAACAAGATTAGCAATAACTCCTGAATACCATCTAGTAGACAATATTGAAATTCCCTCCAATTGTTTCTAAAACAAACAATGCTATTTTTACAGCTTTATTGAGATATATTTCACATGCCTGAAAAATCATCCATATAAAGTGTATTGTAATATATTCTCAGTTGTGCAACTTTTACCACAATCTAATTTTAAAACATTTTCAACAGCTCAAAAAGAAACTCCTAAACCATGAGCAGTCACTCCCCATTTCTGTGCCTTCCCCGAAGTCTCCCTCCTCTCACTTAGCATAATGTCTTCAAGGTCCATCCATGTCGTAGCATGTATGAAGACTCTATTCTTTTTATTGTCAAATCATTCCATTGTATCGACAGACCGCATTCTGTTTATGTATTCATTGATGGGTGGACGCTTGGTTGTTTCCACTTTTTGGCTATTATAAATAATGCTGCTATGAATGTTGGCATTACAAGTTTTTATGTTGTCTTTTCTCTTGGGTGTATGCCTAGAGGTAGAATTGCTGGGTTATATGGTAGTTCTGTGTTTAACTTTTTTAGGAAGTACCAAACTGTTTTCCAAAGTGGCTGTACCATTTTACATTTCTACCAGCAGTGTATGAGAGTTCGTTTCTCTACATCCTCACCAATACTTGCTACTGTCTGTCTTTTTGATTATACCCATCCTAGTGGGTGTGAAGTGGTATCTCGTGATTTTGATTTTCATTTCTCTAATGACTAATGATGTTGGGCATCTTTTCATGTGTTTACTGGCCATTTTGTATCTGCTTTGAAGAAATGGCTATTCAAAACTGCCCTTTTTTTTTTTTTCTTTGAGACAGAGTCTCACTCTGTTGCCCGGGCTAGAGTGCCGTGGCATCAGCCTCGCTTGCAGCAACCTCAAACTCCTGGGCTCAAGCGATCCTCCTGCCTCAGGAGTAGCTGGGACTACAGGCATGTGCCACCATGCCCGGCTAATTTTTTTATATGTATATTTTTTTAGTTGTCCAGCTAATTTCTATTTTTAGTAGAGACGGGGTCTCGCTTTTGCTCAGGCTGGTCTCAAACTCTTGAGCTCAAACAATCCGCCCGCCTCAGCCTCCCAGAGTGCTGGGATTACAGGCGTGAGCCACCACGCCCAGCCAAAACTGCCCATTTTTTAATTGGGTTGTCTTTTTTATTGTTGAGTTATAAGGATTCTTTAAATATTCTGGAATCAAGTCCTTATCAGATATATGATTTGCAAATATTTTCTCCCATTCTGCTGTAATATACTTTTACATAATTGCAGTACATCTCTTTAAAAGAGCTGTCACCTGCCAAAATACAAGAATGACCAAATTGTCCCAATTCCTGAATTATCCAGTGAAACAGCATGGCATTCCTGTGAATGGATCATGAAGATTGGGGTCCTTTTGACACCACTTAGACCAGTTCCTGGCAGCCTTTCAGGCCACACCACAGCCACTGGCTACCCACTACTTCAGTCACACATGGCTCAAAATTTTTTAATGGAAAAACATTTTTTAAAATTCTTTTAGAATAGTTCTGTTTAGGCTCTTGAATAAACAATTTTCCACTATACTATTTATTGATCACTTAACAAGCAACAGACATTGCTAAGTGCTTTATACACAGGACCTCATTTAATTCTTAAAACAACCCTGGAGATAGTTATCGTTCCCATTTGAGAGAGAAAGAAACTACAAATTCAGAGAGTTTAAATAACTGGCTAGACCACAACAATTTGTAAACAGCCCTACAGTTAGGACTAGGTCTGATTTCAAAGTCTGCTTTTAATCACTGTGCTGCAAACCACTCCCTCTGTGTTGCCTGACAGGGGTCTGGGCTGGTGGTTCTTATTGAACCTACTGAAGCCCTGAAGTCCGGAGGGACGTGGGATGAGAAAGATGAGCTGAGAACGTGAAGTCCCCGAGGACGCACATCAGTGGGGAGAGATCCCTCAGCTTTGAGGAGTAGCCCAAGAACAGAATTCTAGGCAGGCTTTTCTGATTTAGGGCTGCATCTGAGGACACCACCAGCAGCTTGACTCTTCCAAGCTGGAACAGGAACGCCTAAAAGATTTACAGGGACACACTCTAAGAACACTGTAGGCAGAATGAATAGGCAAAATGTGGTCTATCCATACAATGGAATATTATCCAGCCATAAAAAAGAATGGAGCACTGGC